ATTATTATTAATGTATCATAAACAATAGGCGCTGCAAATATTCTGAAATCTCCCCGAGTTAGCGAATTAAAATAGTTATCATCCGACGAGTCAACTATATTATTCTTTGCATCCTGGCTACACCCTACGCATATCTTGTCTCTTCATCTTTCAAATCTTTTCCACCTGCTATTTCATCGTTTAGTATCTGTCCGGTATAATCATCATCGTATTGCCTACATTAAGTACACCGTATCCATCTCATGTTATCGCCTGTCTAATTGTTAAATAAATAATTCGCATATCACATCATTTGCCTTTTATATTTACCGTCAATATTTATTTTTTCTTTTCTTTCTTGATTCCAAAATCCAAAAATTGTGAAAAATCAAAATATTGATTAATTAATTAATCAATATTTTGGTTTTTCACAATTTTTGAATTTCTATTAATTATTTCATTTTCTTGATTTTTATAATTATCTTTACGAATTAGTATTGCAGAAACAAAAACGAGATATTTGTTACTTTTTAACTAAATATTCTATAATATACATATATTCTATAATATACATATAATATATTTTATAATTAATGATATATTTTTTAATCCATAAACTTATTTATTTTTTTAATTAATTTTACGTTGTAGTTTTTGTTTCATTTTTAATCGATTGGTTTTTAAAGGCAATTTTTATTATAGAAAATAATATTTTATATATTTCTGCAATTCATTTACAAAAATTAATTACCCATCATTAAATTTAATGGTGCTTCGGATGAGAAACTTAATTAAGCACATAATAAGAACGGGAAGTTCAATTTATTCTCTGTTCAATCATAAGTTTCCATATCTTCTTCTGAATAATACAGGTAAGTGACGTATTGCAAATTACAACATTAAATTTGCTACAATAATTTTAGCATTGGTAAACCATAATTATTTTTTTATTATTATATCTACGAAGAAGTAATTCTTTGATTGATAGAAAAGAGACACTTTGTTTATCAGAGGTTTTACAAGAAATCTTGAAGTTCTACATGTAGCGTAATAACACGAGGGCGTTAATTTAAACTCGTAACACGTGGGCTTGTGCATTTGTTTTCCCGACGTAGGCGGAAGTAACGCTAACGAGATGAGAAAACGAGCAATTAACTTCGTCACTTCGGCCGAGGAGGAAACGCGCAGATGATCGACGCGCGCGTTATCACGTGTAAGGCATATGTTGTTCGTAGTCTACGCCCGTTTCAAGATAAATGGCATTTAGTAAGTTATTACTGCTGCCACTAGTTTTTATCATGTATTATTTGACTCAACGATATGAGATTTCGTCAAAACAAGCATCAACTTTTGCTACAAAGAGCAAGTCAACCATAAAATGCTTCCAGATCTTTTTTTTCTACATAAAAAAATAGAAAAAGTAAATTTATCTTTCAAGCAAAAAATTTGGTTCATCTTGTTCCATTTCTGTTTACGCTGCAAGTAAGGTTATGATATTTTAAGAAAAGCAGTAAATTAATATTGGATTATTAATCCATAATTCTGGATTCTAAAATTGTAGACAATTTTTATTCTGTTATGTATTTGTTAAATACTATATTAAGATTCGAATGCATAAATTTTTTACTGGT